TAATCCATATCAGTGGGTTAATGCACTAATTAGTTTAAGGCTCTTGTAACTCAATCAGTTTACCTCTAAACATTCTTCCATTGTCTCACACTTCATATCTAAATTGTGACACTTGCTATTGAGTTTATCATCTATACTATGTATTGGCTCTGAATTATCAGCATAGTCAACTGACGGAACTTCATCTATGATAAGGACTTCTTAATTGAGAAAGTGCTTGGAAAATATGCGAGTATTCTTGGTTGTCATATATTATAATTTGTAGAGCAATATGAACTTGTGCTGAAAAAAGAACAGGAGCTCACGTCCCACCATTCTGGAGACAGTCCTGACCAGCAAAGAACTGTCTCATGTTCTATACAAATCCTAAGTGTCCCGCCAGACCGCCAGAGACTGAAGGCGCGCCTTGACATATGGCAGATTTCACACAGGACATATGTGTTCCATGATGCCTCTTCACTCTTCCTTCCCATGTCACAACATCAGGCATTATTTTGACACCACATTTATAAATAAGGTTGAGCTCATTTGTAAGAATATCATGCTTCCTTGTTTTCTCTACTTCTACAGCCTGTAATTTGAATTGGCACGTAGTCTTGCTTCAAGTAAAGTTATTTCTTTCTTTCTCTTTTCATACACAAATAAGTCTGGCCTATTACTGGTTACCCTCACATGCGTTTTAGTTCTAGAATATCATATATATGTGTATATATGTGCTTCTTGCACAAGTTGCTTCTGATCGTCTCACATCTCTTAAACCCAAATGCATTCATTATAAGCAGGTGCAATGATCTGACTACTTCATTATATCTTCTAGCAATAACTGAAAATTTACATACTGAAGTACATATTATTTATTTAAAATACTTGCTTTTTATCCCTCCTTTATATTACACTTAGGGTATTACACTGATTTTTATTATGTATCTAAGTATAATATCTGCAAATTTCATTTTGGTTTGGTAAATGAGGCATTACAAATTATTTGTTATAAAAGGAGATATTAAGTACAATAAGTTTGAGAACCACTGATCTATTACTACAATACCTTATTTTGCAGAGGAAGAAAGTGAGGTACTGGGAGATTAAATGACCCAATCAGTAAGTTGCTGATCTGGAATTAAAACCCCAATCTGACTTCCAGTCCAATTCTCTTATTTTGTTGTATAATTTTACTTGCACATTGAGCAGTTCCTATTTCTTTAGTAGGATTATATTCATAATCTCCTTGAGAACAGAGCCATTTTGTACAACCCTTTCCATAATCATCACAGTGACTAATATAGCATTAGACATATAGTAGTTACTAAATACAATAATGTATCCGATTGCATTGAATTTCATGCACTGCATTGAAATGAGATGATTTGTGCTGAATAGTGGGGTGTTAATGCTTTATGGCCAATGGTGTCTTCCAGTGAAACAATTGATGCTATCAGTTCTGTACCAGGAATTCACAACTGGCACAACTACCTCAGATTTCCCTCTTCACCTTCTTCCCATTGCTCATTGGTTTCCAGACTCCTACCATGCAGTATTGCTTTCCTTCTGACTTCCCACAGCTCTTGACATTGACTCAGGGTTCTCCCCAAAGACTACCAACTTTCATCTCTGGCTGTCCTTTGACTAGCCATGTCCCTTGGGATATAGACTCAGTTCAGGAAAAGAGCTAAAGATCAGCTTTTTCCCTTTTCAAAGTTTCTCAGGTTCTAAATTTTTTTCCTGAATTTTTTCTAAATAAATCTATGATGACACGTGGTGACATGGTGCAGGAGGTAATTCTACATGTCAGTGAGAAGGCACCAAAATACTGACTCTGATGCCACATTCTGAGAGCAAGTTGTTCCATCTTCCCAGTGAGTGTGCATGTGTATGTACACACATGCAGGCAGAGGAAAAGACAAAACTCCTTTGCAAGAATTGAACATGAATGCCAGGAGGCAGGAGACTTATGAAGAAGTGTCAAGAACCATGTGCAAAACAGTGGAATTGTGAGGGTTATAACCAGATAACCATGACCTAAAGGGAGAAATTTGGGGGGATGATGGAAAAATCAGTGTCACTCGTCTAAATACCATATAGAGTAAGAGGATTAGACATAAATCCTCCTTTCACACATGACATTCAGCTATGTACACATGCGTCACCCACAATACCAGCAACATTAGCAAGAATAAAACAATTACAACCACAACCAAAAGAGTGGTATTTCTGATGTAGATTTTAAGTAACAAAATCATCACTTCTGCCCTAACCACCAAAAGAAATACAGTTCAAAAAACCATTAGAGAACTAGGGACACAAAGAAATCTAAATGAACTAACAAGAGAAAATCCCTGAGGCACCCCAGATCTTCTCTAGACCTCCAAAGGCTGGGAAAAATGGCAACAGGACTAAATGTAAACTCAAAAGAAGAGGGTAACATTTAGTAGAGCTGGGTAGCAAAGAGAACCATCAGATTCTCAACCAAAATCCTGGTGGGCTAGTTATGTAATAGTGAGAGGTCTCCATATATCTGAAAGCTCAGCCATGAATCAGAGGCAAATTTCCAGAACCTTACCAGTGCTGAGAGCTGAGTTCCTGATGAAGACAGAATGTTCACACTGTCCTCGGGACAGTTGAGTCGAGTGGTGAACTGAATCAGACTGAAGCTGCAACAAAGCATCTGAATCCAGGCTCACTTGATCAGACTGGCTTAGCCTTCACTTTCAATTTGTAAGATAAAAACAGGAGAACACCTTTGTAGAAGCAAATATTGCATACTTCAGTATTGAGTACCCTTTTATGTGGTAAAAGCATACAAAAAGGGAAGAAAATGCAAACTGAAGTCAAGACAGGAAATATACAATAGAAAGAGTAAAAGAAATTATTTACATCTGCAATTACCAGAGAGGGACTTTAAAGCAATTCTGATAAAATTCTAAAGGATATAGTGGAAATGTGAACACGTGTATGAAGAAATGAGAAATTTCAGCAAAGATGGGGAATATTTTAAAAAGAACCAAATCAAAATGCAATAAATAAAAAATAAAATATCATAAATAGTGTACTAAATTAATTAACAGGAGATAGAACGTAGAAGGAAAAAAAGTCAATGAGCTTAAAGACACATGATGGAAATTGTCCCAACTGGAACACAAAGACAAAATTGATGAATAAAAACAAACCAGAGTATGCTAAAACTGTTGTATAGTATCAAATGTTTTAACATACAAATAGAATCCTAGAGGGGAGATTGGAGAAAAAGGCTGGCAGATATATTTGCAGACACGGTGCTTTAACAAACTGTATGAAGGATCAATTCAGAAATCTAAGAAGGCCAATGGACTCCAAGCAGGATAACTAAACCCCTTCTCAGAAACACTTCAGTCTAAAATAGAAAGCAAACAAACAAAAACTCAAACCAAAAAGTAATAATAAAAAAAAAGCGCAGAAAACCAGATTTGAAGAGAATCAAGTAAAAAGAGAATGCACATTAGGAAACAACAATGAAATGACATCTGACTTTTCTTCATAAATAATGATGAGCAGAAGACAATGGAGTGGCAGATGACCATACATCTCTTAACAATGGGGATATGTTTTGAGAAATGCAACATTAGGCAATTTTTTCATTGTGCCAACATCAGAGTGTACTTGCACAAACCTAAATGGTATAACCTACTACTACACACCTAAGATACAGAGTACAACCTATTGCTCCTACCGTACAACCTGTTACTGTATGGAATACTGCAGGCAACTGTAGCGCAATGGTAAGCATTTGTGTATCTAAACATATCAACACATAGAAAAGATAGAGTAAAACAAATTATATGAAAACGGCATGTCCGCAAAGGCAGTTACCACGGCTGGGGCCTGCAGGACTGGAAGTTTCTCTGGGCGAGTCAGTGAGTGGGGGGTGAATGTGAAGATCTGGGGTGTTATTATCAACCACCATATGCTTTATAAACATTGTGCACAGTCTATGCCAAAAATTTTTAAAGGTTGTTTCCTCAGTAAAACATCATTTTTAGCATACCTTTTTACTCCATGGTTCTTAATTTTTTTTATTTTAGCTTTTTGACTCTTCAGTAATAACCCTTGTCCTAAAAACCCAAAAACACATTGTACAGCTGTGCAGAAAATTTTCTTTATTTATATTCTTATTCTATAAGCTTTTTCTATTTTTTTTAACATTTTCAACATTTTTGTTAAAACCAAGACAAAGAGCTGGGGACATAACTCTGTTAGAGAACTCACCTAACATGCATGAGGTGGTGGGTTCAATCTCCAGAATCACAAAAAAACAAAACAAAAACTAAGACAGACGCCTACTCATCACTCTTGGCTACATCGATATCACTGCTTTCCACCTCCACATCTTGCCCCAGTGGAACGTCCTGAGGGGCAACAGCATGCATGAAGCTGCCGCTCCTCTAATAACAATGCCTTCCTCTGGGGTACTTCCTTTAGGACTTGCCTGAGGCTCTTCCTGAAGAGTCATCCTTTTCAGAAAAATGCACACAGTGGTTTATTTGCTTGTTTCTTCTTTGCAATCATAGATTTGCTTGTGAGCACATAATGTACCGTGAACATTCCTCTCATTAAAACATTTCACCATCCTTTTGTGAGCGGTGGTCTATGTTTTCAAAGTTTCTGAAGAGCTATATGAGGTCTTCAAATGTTTCTGATAAACACTGTGAATTTTTGATAGGGTTTGTAGGTTGGGTATAATTTGAGTGTCTGCCAAAAGCCCATACATAAAAGTTTGGCCCCACATTTGGTAGTTTCAGGATGTGTTTAGAACTTTAAGAGGTGGAGCCTAGTGGGGTGCCTTTAGATCATTGGGGTTGTGCCCTCAAAGGGAACCATAGGACCCTGATCTCTTCCTGCCCAGCCCCCAGTCTCTCCCTCTCTCCTTCCTAGATTGAGGGAGGAGTGCTTCTTCTGGCATGAGTTGCTGATGTGATATGCTGCTCTGATAGAGGTCAAAGTGATGGCACTGCCCAATCTTTTACTGGAACTTCCAAAACTGGAAGCTAAACAAATCATTCCTCTTTGATAATTTTTTTTTTTTTTGCCTCAGGTATTTCACAAGGATGACTAATTCAGAAGTTCTTATTTTATTATCCTATAGTTTTCTTTCCTCTTGAGTTTCTTCAGTTTACACTCATTAGGCAATGGGGATTTCTCAGCTGCATTTTAATCCTATGAGACCTCTATTGCATGTACAGTTGGTCATTGTCCAAAACACCATTAGGCAGAACATGACTTTATTTTCAATGCTGAAAGAAAAAAAAAATCATGTCAGAAGTTTATCCAGGATCAGACATGGTGGGCACACCTGTAATCCCAGAGACACTGGAGGTCGAGGCAGGAAGATCACAAGTTCAAGGATACTCTCACAACTAAGCAAGGCCCTGAGCAACTTAGCAAGACCCTGAGTCAAAATAAAAAGGATTGGGAATATAACTCAGTAGTAAAGTACCCCTGGGTACTTTATTCCCAATACCAAAAAAAAAAAAAAAAAAGGTTTATCCAGGGAACATATATGTAATAATGTAATATTGTATATTATATATAACATATTACATAGACATACACTTTATAGTACATAGTACATGTCTTTATATTAAGAACATTTAAATATATATAATCATATTTAATATACTTAACATATAAATATGTGTATTTATATAAAAATGGTGTGTATACATACCATTATAAATATATTTATATACAATATAAATATATTGCTGTGGTTTGAACGTAACTTGCCCCCTCCAAAAACTTATGCTTGAATTTTATTGCCACTGTGGCAGTTAAAAGGCCACTAGATCATTAATAGAGATTAATGCCTTATCCTCATGAGACTGAATTGTGCTAAAGGGAGCCTTCTCCTCTAGCTCAGACTCCTTCACAGTCACTCACCTGCCTTTCCATTTGACCTCCATGTTATGACAGCCCAAGGACCTCAACAGATGCATACACCTATCTAAGACTTTCAGCTTCCCGAACCATGAACTAAATGCACTTCTTTCCTTGGTAAGTTAACCAGTCTCCTGTATTCTCTTATGGCAGCAGAAAACCAACTAAGAAATATGTACTATACATATCATTATATACATATTTAAATGTATCTATATATGTAAGTGTATTTATATAATATATACACATATATTTAGTGGGTAAAATTCTAAATTGACATATAAATACACCATCTGTAAAAGAATAAAAGAGTGTGACATTTTAAAGCAAAATCAGTGTGAATGAATCATGGTGCGACAGCATACATAGAAACAAAATTAAGACAACAGGAGCACAAAGTGTAAGGTACAAATGTAATCACACAATTGTAAATTCTTAGGCTTTCAGTGAAATATTTTGTGCTAACATAATACATTCTGATCCTTTTTTTTTTTTTTGGAGCAAATAATACATGAAAGAATTTCAAGGAGGGTTGGGCTGAAGTTGCCTTTCCATTACTTTTGGTTCTAGGTATACAAAAGCCTGTATTGATATGATTGGTACAAATTGTAATCTGTTTTCCTTTTCCTGGTACAATAAAATAATGAAAGTCAGAGAAGGATTTCTCATCAGTCTGTTAACATTGTCACAGACAGAGCCACCTCATTCATAAGTGGCACCACGCAGGGGATGGAGGGCTAGATTTTGCATCAGGAAGCCCAGGGTCCGAATCCTGGTTCCATCTGCTATGTGTCAGCTGGAACCTGGTCCTTAAACTTCCTGAGCTCTATTTTCTCATCTTAAATGAGGCCAATAATTCCCAATTCACAGGATTGAAGCAAGAATTAGACTAAATAACATCCTGGAGGAACACAGCTCAGGGCCAGGCACATCTGCAGGGGCTCAGGAAATGTTAATTCCCCAGGCCCCTTCAAGCTGCAAACCCAATGGGCAACCAGGGAAATCTAGTTTGAGTCCACATGACTTGGAACCTCTGGAAGTTTGACATCATTCCCTTCATATAAAAATCAGGGAGTACATTCAAAATAAGAATGCATAAGAGAAAGAAAATTAGCACTTTTTTTAGGACTTAAAAAAGCCACATTCACAGAAAGAGTAGGAAGCATCACTCAGAAACAAGTGTATTTTTTTCTGCAGATGCTTTTGAAGTTCTCAAGGACTTGAGGGTCAAAGCTGGCAAATCCATAAGAGTCCTGAAAAGCCAAGGGCATGTGAAGGAAAAAATGTCCTTGCTTGCCTAATCTGAGCACCTGGTCCCCCTGCTGGGGCATCCTGCAGCCCTCGTGAGGGTCTCCTCCATGGAGGCAGGCAAGGGCTCTGTAAGAGGAGCCAGGCGGATCTGTTTCTCAGCCTCTTCTTTACTGCTCACAAGTTGCATGACTCCAGGCGAGGTCTTTGGTGTCCCTGACCTTCAATTTCTTCCTCTATAAAAAGAGATAATAAAACCCACCTTCGAGAGCTATTGTGTGTACTAGGATGGAGCATGCAAAGCAGAGGTTAAATCTGGAAATCTTTAATCAGCTGATGTATTTTGTCTAGGTTATAGAAGACTGCATGCCGCTTTCTATTTTTTTTAAATTATCAGTTGTTTATAAATAAGATAGTTCACATTTGAAATATGTTTTTCTATATTCTCTGGAAATATTGCAAGATCTGGTAACCTAATGCCTATATTTCTCCAACAGATTGATCTATTAAAGCTAAGTAGCAACCATCTTCCATACACAGACCTTATTTTCTACAGACTTTGCTATTCCTTATTGTCTTACCTGTCACAGACTGTCACAGACTTCGCTATTCCTTATTGTCTTACCTGTACTGGAAGCCAATTAATTCATTTCTATTACCTGCCTCCTGTATGAAATGACTAGCACTACATGTAAGGGTTAATGAATATCCCCTTTCCATTTTGCCCTCTGTCTTGGTGGCCCCATGGCCAAATGGGATTCAGAGAGAAACATAACTGGTACAATAATTCTAGCTCTTAAGGATCAGGAGCACTTTCTTGGCCTAAAGACACTCTTTTTTTTTTTTTTTTCTAATAATCACAGTTATCTTTCAGCCCCTTCAAAAATATACACATGACAAGGTTTTTTTTTTTTTTTTTTTTAGCAGGTTGGGTTTAGTGCCTGCTACAAAACACTAACCCCAGCTCATGATGTATTAAAATAAATCTAGAAACCTTTTCCAGGAGCCTGAGATTTGTCTCTGAGACCCCATTTGAAGGAGATGCATCCCAGCTGTGGAAGGGAGAGGCCTGGGCGGAATGCCTGAGGGTCAGGAGGAGGGCTGGGAAATCAGAAGTGGGTCTCCCACAGCGGCCCCTGATATTCACGAGTCCTTGACTGCCTTCCAAATCCATCAGTTCAAGCCTCATTAAAGAAAACCACAGTTCTCCAGAGGGCCAGGTGAGAGGGAGGGCTCTGGATTCTAAAGAGAGGGGAAGCTGGTGGGCTGTGGGCAAGGCGGTGGGGGTTGTGTTCCGTGGAATAAGAGACACTTTTCAATAAATGAGCTTATGATGATATCACAAGAGAGTTGAGATGCTTTTGAGAAGAGGCAACTAGAAATTCTGCAGCTCAGCCTGGCCTCTGGCTTACTGCAGTGGGCGATAGATGTATAAATCATGTAGGTGGGGTAAGAGGGAGTCACCGGGAGCCAGCAGCAGGTTGGTTAAGATGAAAGGCATTCATAAATCCAGGGCTTCTGCACCTGCTATCTATGATTAAAAATTGACTGGAGGCTCCTGACCTCCTCCCTTCCCAAGAGCAGCCATCTGTGCACATCAGGGACAGCCAGGGTCCCTGGGTGAACCCAGGGAGGTGGAAAAGCCCAAGATAGGCAGTCCAGAAGAGAGCCCATAAACAGTATCCTGGCTCAGAGGACAGCCTGGAGAGATGGAACTGCAGATCTTGGCAGAGAAAAGTGAAATGTGACTTCTCCTAGGGACCTCACCTTCCACACTCAGGATTCTCAAGTATCACACTTGGAAGGGACTAAGAAGATACAGTCTCACTAATGCAGGCTCCATGAGGAACAGAGTTCTGCAGAGAACAAAGGACTCCCTCAAATTCTGATAGGCTGATGTTCAAACTCCTGGCTTTCAGACCAGTGTCCTTCATGACACAGTGACCTCCCTGTCTTGCTCTCCACATCCCCAGGCTCCTGCCTAGGGCCCTGGAGGTAAATGTCCATGACTAAAGTGGATTTCTTAGCATTTGCCGAACCAATCAGAATCTGACCTTGTTCTCTCCTGTCCTGTTGGGACAAGGGGTAAGGGGTCAACTGAAAATAGGCTAAAAAGTGACCCTCAGGGAGCTTCCTGTTGTCTCACCGTATCCCACCTGACCAGCCTCCTCACACCAGGAGCAATGAGCTGTTGGGATTCTGCACAGGTCAACCTTGAGGCACCCTTGTTGTTTCACCAGACTTAGTTCCTTATTCACAGTAGAGAAAGTTTCACTTTACTGCACTTTTCCCGCCTCTAGGCAGTTTGTCTCCTTGGCTGCAAGTGGAAGTGACTTTGAGTTAGAGATTTTGAAATGTATGCATGTCATCCCCACCCCGGTGCTGGAGTGGCCTCAGTGGCTCTTCACTGCTCAGTGAACAGATGACTCACCTGGGCACCACTGGGATGGCCCTGGGAGAGCCTGGCTTCTCAGAGCTGGGGTCGTGAGCACCTGCCATCAGGGAGTCCCTGAGCATCTGACTTCAACAAAGCCACTTACTTCTGGTCTCCACAAGGGTCAGGGGGCTGCTAACCAGTGGTCTTGGAGCTCAAGACTTGCACTAACGACTGGAATGTATGTAATAACAAATCTATTATTTTGTTGATTATCTACCAGGTACTGGGTGTTGGGATAAGCTGGTGGGTTTATTCTAATCAAATGGGTTTCATTTAACTGACGGGTTTCATTTAATTTTCAAAAACCCCCCAGAGTGACCCAAAACACTTTGTAGATAGAAAGTCAAGAGTGGGTAGTGACTTAATAGGGTCTCACCACCAGTCAGCGAGAGATGCCGCAGGTCTCAGGAGGCCTCCCTTCCCTCGACCCCTCCACATGCAAGCAACCAGTTCCCCTGGCCACCCTCATACCCTCCTCTGGCCAACTGGTCTACCACATCCCTTCACCAATGGCACCTAGTTACCATGATCAACAGTGAGAATGGCTTCCCACAGCCATGCAGGAGATGCTTCTCATCACTTCAGGGTATCTAAAGGACTGTCTTTCTCATCACTTACCAGCCCATCTCTGCTCAGTCTCTGCTATTCTTCTCAAATGCTTGCCACTGTTCC